TGACGTCTCCCCGGGAATAAGGACTGTGAAGACGTAGCAACTTTGCTCCTCCTGGGGAGCTCTGTGTGCCTGAGTGTGTGTATGTTTGCCAGTGTGTGTGTGTGTGTGTGTGTGTGTGTGTGTGTGTGTGTGTGAGTGTGTACCGTGCATGAGTGTGTGAGTGTGTGCATGCATGAGCGTGTGTTTGCAAGTGTGTGGGGGGCTCCCAGGAAACACCAAAGACTCAAGGTACGGCGCTGTACCTGGAGCGGTTCCGTAGACTTGGAAGGCAGAAATGAATGGATGAATGAATGAGTGAATGGTTGTGATGTGAGCAGAAGAGCCCTGACTGGGAGGAGGGCGGAGGGCACCCTCCTTCCCCGAAGTCACGAGCTTGCCCTGGGCCTGCTCCTGGGCCCTCTTGGGAAACTCGCATCAGGTCTGGAGCCTCAGAATATCCAGGCTGCTTGAGTTGAAAGCTTTGCCTAAGCATTTAAAGCACTGAATGAGTTGACTCAATGAAATGCAGAGGACAAGAACAGTGGTTATTAATAAATCATAACAATGATTATTTTCCTTTCAAGACACTCAATCAGCCTTATAAGAAATAGTATCCCTGTGATTGATCAGCTGGGGAAAAGCCTGGGCTGGTCAGGCAGCCTAAGCAGCATCTACCAATGAATGAGGCCACAGGAGCTGGTTCTTCCTGTCTTCTGAGGGAGCCTGGGGCAGGGCAGGCAGGGATCTACTCAGAGACCAGTGCAGGGCAGACCCAGCCCCGTTGCCCCAGGAAACAAGCCCCAAGCCCCCTGCCTGCCTCCTCCATACCTGCAGCCCTCGGGAGGGTAGTGCCCAGGGCCTGGGGATCAGGGCCGAAAACACGGAGGGAACAGCAGATCACTCACACTGCAGTCATTTATTTCTTTCTGGGCACCTTCTGTCTACTAGGCTCAGCATCTAGTGTTCTGTGCTCCGAGAGCTCAGCCTTCCTGGGAAGACAGGCCTGGATAGAGACTGTCTCTGTGGAGATGGCCCAGGGCCCGGCCGAGGGCTCCCAGCATTCCTCGGTGTTGGGGTGCACTGATGAGCCACTGAATTTTTATTGAGCTCCTACTATGTGCTGGCCCTGTTCAAGACATTATAGGGGGTATGGAAGGCAGGGCAGGTGTATTCTGGGTCCTACCGGAGCTATGCTCTTGTCAAATGAGACCCTTTCAGGCCCTGTTGTACTAGAAGACAATAGACAGAACCAGAGATGTGGCACTAGAACATTTTGTAAAGCCAGATTCCCCACTAGAGACCCCAGAGGGTCTTTAGAAGGGTGGAAGGTCCTACACAGCCTTTACAGATTCCCTAAGAAGAGGAAGAGGAGAAAATGCAAATAGACAGGAGGCCTGAGCCAAATTCTTCACCCACAGGAGCCCAGGTTCCGTCAAGGCTCATGTTAGAAATCTCAAGTAATTAAAAAAACAAAATCCTAGCACCGTTGACTTCATTTTACCATTGATCCTCAACCTATTAAAGGAATTTTAGAGATGAAGAAACTGAGACCCAGGGAAGAAAACTCTGTAAGCAGGGGACACACCTGTCCCCTCTCCCACCTCAGTCCTCTGTCAGACTCCACCAGAATACTGGGGTTGGGGTAACCCGAGTGCCCAAGCCCCTAGGGCCCCATATAGCCCTGGGCCCTGGAACGGGATCAGTCAGTGTCCGGTGAATCCAGCCCTGCTGCAGGCCCTGTACAGCTTGAGATGGGACGAGAGATGGAGGGGCAGGTACAGCCCTGGGAGCTGAGAGGTCCTTCCCGATGCTGTGGGGTCGTGTCAGGCACGGGCCCCCAGCTGTCTGCCAGCAGCTCCACCCAAGGGTTTCTGCCTGCAGAACAGCTGAGGTGCGGAGCCGAGGCAGAGTGCAGCGCAGACCCCAGGCGTGGTTCTCTGGGCACCTGGAAATGGAAGGGCAGCTTTTCTAGGGCTGCAGGGACACTTCTAGAGAATTACTAAGGCTCATTCGAGAGGAGAAGGGGGCCTAGGTGACCAGGAGATCTACGAGGACCCCAGCTGCTCCCCCACTCCCAGCCAGCTCTTCCAATCGGTTAAGTGAGCAAAGAGAGCGAGCAGAAGCTTTATACAGGGAGTGGAGCTGATGCAAAAATGTCCCCCTGATAAGTACCCCGGTAACAGGGTGAGCTAAGACAGTAACTAAGTGTCATTTCATACTACTAAATTATTGAGTAGGAATGTTCAAATTATGACATTTCATATTGATGGCTATGAAGCAAGTGCTACACTGGTATAATTTTGTGTGTTGTAATATATCCACAAGCCATTTTTAGAAGGAAGGGTGTAATGGCACCTAACCAGCTAAAAGCTGTAGAAAAGTCCATGCCTTCTGTCCCGTGAGCCCGCCCTGAGAACCCATCTCCAGAAAACAGTTCTGCATGGAGACACCCACTGCACCATTTCCATTAGCAGGATCCTCACTGCCATGGTAACCAGTGACGGGGCACCACATCCATGCCATCCGTGCACTCTGCCAGACGTGGCCATCTCTCCTCCCCCAGCTCACTCTGGAGGGTCAGGTATCACCCTCCCCCATGCTCCCAGCTTGCCCATCAGCCCACTGAGGCACAGACAATTCACAGAGCTGGCCATGATCCTGTATTTCTTCAGCTGGACCCCATTGTCTCTTTAATTAAATCACTAACATTGGAAGGACTCCAAATACCCAGTGATGAGGGAATCTTTAGGTAACTCACAAGAATAGTAAACAGCCACAGAAATAAAGGAGGGAAGTAGAGTTTAATCTAGTACACATTGGTACTTATGGGGCCCAGGACCCGCAGAAAGGTGGGGAGCAAAGGTAGGGAGCAGCCCGTGAGTTCAAGAGCAAGTGAAGCTCAGCCCTTGGCGCAGGGCTTCAGAGGTAGGCCACTTCCCTGGAAGGAGGAGCCGAGTCGTACCACCTGCCTTCTCTGATTTGCCTTCCCTTTAGTCTCTGAGAAAGACCCTCTGCCCTCAGGGATCGACAGTCCCTCTTCTGTGCATTAGGGTGAGCCTGGAAACAGGCTGCTTGCTCTCTGGGCAGAAGCACAGACAAGACGAGGCTGAAACATTGAGCACTGCCTCACCACAGCCGAGGGAGGGCAGCGGGGAATCAAGGTGGAGAAGGTGCGGACTGATGTAGTCTGGGCTATCACAGAAGCTCAGAGTGGCAGAGAGGATGATGTCTCCCCTTAATCCCCCTGCTGTCGGTGAGCTGACCCCTTCTAGAGCAGGGCCCATGGGATGGCCTCCTTATTTTTTGCTCCTGTAAAAGCGGCCGATTCAGGATTGGATCCCAGGCCATATGTCACTCGAGGCAAAGCTGGGGACCACCAAACTATATGATCTCCTCGGTGAGCAGTTGAGTGTCATGGCACATTTAATGCCATGGTAAGACACAGACATACCTACTAATTAGGGTGGGCCCAAGTAGCCCATCATGTTTGACAAGCATGACTTACATCCATTCCCTGAGCAGCATGTGGTGAGGGCCACACATGTAGAACTGGGTAAGACATCACATCCTCCCTGCCATGCACCTCGGTCTGCTGGGGCAGAAAGGCAGCCCCAGATAATGGCAAGCCAAGGTCACATGTCCTGGTAGGGGAGGGGATGACTCTCTGAAGGAGATTCAGAAGGAAGTTTCTGCAGAAGAAGTATCTGAGCTGGAGCTCACCAAGCATCCAAAGCCAGGAGTTGAGTGAGAAAGGGATGGAAGAAAGGTCCATGTTAGTGGGACAGCATGGGCAGGGGGTAGGCCAGGCTTAGGGAACTAAGCAGTCACTGGTATAATGGGAGGAGCTCACACACACGCACACACACACAGAATGGTACAACGCCAGAACTGTGGGTCACAGGGAACATGCGTTCCAGTCAGAAGTTAGGCTCCATGGGCTAAGAATTACACGTGTGATTACATTTAGAAGAACTGTCCTTCATAAGTCCAGGATGGCCCCTCCTGGCTACTGCTGCCACAGTACGCTTGATACTGGCCAGGGAGGGGAGAGGAGCTTTTCCTGAGACAGAGGAGAGGGGGGAGGTGGTGGGCTAGAGGAGGGTCAGTAGGGGACCTGTTGTGAAGGGCAGTACCAGTCCCGGCAGGGTGCCGGTCAGTGGTGTCAAGTGGGGAGCAGAGGAAGCCTGCCGGGCAGAAGGGCTGGTGGGCACTCCGAGACGCTGAGGTTGGAGAGATGGCCCCTTTGCCCGGCCAGGGAGCCATAACAAGTTACAACCAGCAGCTGAATCAGAGGCCCCGCTGTCTAGGCCCATTCTGCCAAGATGATCCCAGCGAAGCAACAGGGTAGCTTTTGGGGTTCTGGGCAATGATGTTCAAGTCTGATGCCTCCAGAGAAGGGTGCCGTGCAGAAACCAGGGAGGGGGACTGATGGGGCCAGCTCCCTCGGGGCCTGAGTGACAGAAACCCTGGTGGAATGTGAGCTCCAGGAAGACCCAGATTTTTATCTATTCCTTATTTCACTGCTTGATCCCTTGCACCTAGAACAGTGCTGACACATATGGGTAACTCAATAAATAGCTGCTGAATGAGTACATGGATGAACTCTTGAACAAATGGAAAGATGACGGATGGATGGATGGATGGATGGATGGATGGATGGATGGATTTGTGGATAGATGCATGCATTGGTGGGTGGGTAGATGGATGTGCGCATGCATGCACGGATGCATGGATGGATGAACAAACCGGGGGAAATGAAGAACCTAGGAAGCTAGAGACAGAGCATAAGCTAACCAGACGGGCAGGCTGTGCCCCTGGCCCAGGTGGATACCCCTAGGCAGCTGCTGCTGCTGCTAAGGTGTTCCAGCCCATGCCCCTTGGAATGCAGGGGGCGTATGCCAAGCACCATCATGTCCTGCTGGCCTAGGCTCCCATGCCCTGGCCACAGGGTAGAGGGGATGCCAGAACGGGGGGGGGGTCACGCATCCTTCATACTCACTGTGTGTGTTTTTGGCTTCCAGCCCGCTCCAAAAGCCTGGTGATGGGGGAACAGAGCCGCAGCCCGGGGCGGCTGCCCTGCCGCCGCCAGCTGGGCCCCGTGCTGAAGGAGGGCTGGCTGAAGAAGCAGAGGAGCATCATGAAGAACTGGCAGCAGCGCTGGTTCGTGCTGCGTGGGGATCAGCTTTTCTACTACAAGGACAAAGACGAGACCAAGCCCCAGGTGAGAGGCATACGTCTTGTGTCCTGGGCCATCATGGCAGGGCCCAAGGGAGGGCTAACCATGCCCAGGAGAGGGGAGAAGGCAGAGAGATCCTCCTGTCTGGGCCTCTGCTCCTCAATCCCCCAAGCCACTGACTTCACTCACAAGTGGCACCTCATCAGGATTTCCAAAGTGGTTTTTATTCTCAGCCCCCATGTTCCAGGCATCCTAGCTTGTTTTACTGAAGCAAATCCACAGCTCGAGTAGTGAACGTGTCTCCATAGAATGTTGGTAGAGAGCATCTTGCACAGCTTAGGAAAGCAAGTCTTCCCTAGGTTCTTTTCAGCCTCTTGGTAACATCCCTGTTACTTCCACTGTCCAAAGACATGGGTACCCAAGACAAGTCTAACCTCAAACTGAAATCTGGCTTACCGTGGAGCCCCCGTGTCCAATGCCTCTGCTTTTCAGTGGCTGCTTCCGTGTTCCGCCAGTACTGGAAGATCCACCTGGTCTGGGGTTAGGTGGGTAGGAGCCTGTGCACATCTCAGCAGGCCTCACAGTGTAGAGCTGGGGCCTGGGGGGCAAAGAGGTTGCTCAGTGATGGGCAAGGTGGGAGGAGGGACCTGGGCACAGCCTGAGATCACGTGGCCATCACAGTAGGGGGATGGATGACCTTCCCGCCCCTCTCAATTTTTCTGAATATGTCAAGGGGAAGCATCGGTTGGGTGCTAGCATCTGTTTAACCATCTCCAGCATTTGGGACCCTCCCTTAAAAATGGAGATGGGGGTGGGAAGGAGCAGGCCTCACTCCCGAGCCTTCAGTGGTAATAGTGCATAACATTCTGTCTTCGCTATTATTCTAACGGTTAACTTCTGTTTGTGGAAAGTGATACTGGTCTCCATCCATGACAGTGATATCACGTCTTCCCTTCTAAAATGTATCTGAGTTAAAAATCAAAAAGCGTTGGGGTGCCCGGGTAGCTCAGTCAGTTAAGCATCTGGCTCTTGATTTCAGCTCAGGTCATGATCTCGGGGTCATGGGATCGAGCCCCGTGTCAGTCTCCATGCTCAGTGGGGAGTCTGCTTCAGGATTCTCTCTCTCCCTCTGCCCCTCGCCAAGCTTGCGTGCTCTCTCTCTCTGTCTCTCTCTAAAACAAATAAATAAATCTTTTTTAAAAAAATCAAAAAGTGTTGCACGGCAATGTGGAGGTACTTAGTGCCCCTGTGCACGTCCCAGCAGGCCTCACACTTAAAAATGGTTAAAACAGTAAGTTATACGTTATGTAGATTTTACCACAATAAAAAATAAATAAATAACAAGTGTGAGGTTCTTTAAGGAAAACTTTTCCATGAATGCTAGTACAGAGAAGTGGGTTGGACACAAATCACGAAGCTGGACCTGAACTATAGCTGAGGAAACCCTGATCTTGCCCAGCTTCCCCGGTTGCATAAGGAAGGGAAACGACCCCAGAGAGGTCGAGTAGAACAAATAGAAATTTTGGAGTCAGGCGGATCTGCATTTGATCTGAATGAGGTCTAGCACGCTAGCTTTATGACTTGGGACAAGTCACTTACTTTTGTTTTACTTTTGGTTTTATCACTACTAACTGGAGACATTATTCCCTAGGTCACAGAAATGTGCTAAGGGTCAGATTATAGACCATATACAGATCTGATTGCAAATCCTAGCCCATGGGTGGGTACCCTCATGCTTCCTCAGCCCTGCCTTTGCCTTGCTCCCTGCCTCCCCGGCCCTACCGCTGAGCCCACTCTCCAGATTGGGCACCACATTTCTGGCTTGCCCACCACCATTTTCCTTCTGGCCTTTACTTCTTGTGTTGAAGACCCGCCTTGGCCCTTCAGTGATCTCTTAGCTTTCCTGCCTGACCTCTTAGTGTTATATCACTCTGATGACTGGGAAAGTTGCCAGGGTCTCCACCCTCTTGGGGCCCTGTCTGTGGCCCCTACCATCATCCCCTCCTGGCCCAGCCCATGGCACCATCTCCTGGGAGAACAGTGTGTTGATGCTGGGCGAGCCCAGTGGACAAAAGGAACACACTGAGTTGGCCCAGGCCATGTGGTGGACCCCTGCCCCAGGCTTCCCCACACATTCCTTATGGCGAGCCGGAGCTGGCCCTTGCCCATCAGATGCAGCTCCATGAGGAAGCTCTGTCTCCTGGATTTCCTAAACTGGACACTCCTCTCCCTCACCCACCATCTTTTCCAGACTTCAGTGGCTTCTGGTGGAAACAGCTAACAAAATGGTGGCATCCATACCCCCAGTCATCAGCCTGGGCACGGGAGGAGCCTGGGGCCCAATCCAAACTAAACCAGGGCATTCATTGCCAGAGAGCCATTGGATCTCTAAAAGGCCCCAGTGTCTCCCAACAGATGCCAGCATCATGCCCAGCGCCCCTGTTTTGGCCTCTCTGGGCCTGGCTGATGCCTCCAAATCCTCTTGGGACACGACTTCCTCCCATAAATCCCCCTCCCCGACAAAACCTGATGGTAGCCCTGTTGCACAGGTTCCCAATCAAAAGGAGACTGTTGGTTAAATTGGACTCATTTAGCTTCTACAGTATGATCTCAAACCCGCATGCCTGCTGGCAAAATAGCCCACACATTTCCACTTAATTGCATGAACTACATGTAATGGACTAATTCTCAATATCTGGTTCCTGGAAAAATGTGCCCTGCTTACTGTTTACAGTGACAGAAGGGCCCAGGCAGTAAGCACCGTTCTGATAGACAGCCTGTCATCTGTCTAGCAGACGTAATTGTGGAGAGCAGGGGCGTCCAGCTACCCTTGATGCTGCCCAGAGCACATAACCCATGATGGGGATGACTCTCAGCCCATATTCTTATTCTCTCTCAAAGCCCTATCGCTTCCCCTGCCCCTTTCTAACTAGTAGAAAGACGAGCAGAGAACATAAGAGCATAGAGACTGGGAAAATTCGAGATGGAAGCAAAGCGGCTGCACAAGGTCGGATGGGAAGACTAGGCAAAGGTGTTTAGAACAGAACCTGGAAATGTGCCCCCGTCCTTCCTGCTTTTCCCAGTGCCTGTCAGCAGACAGACTTTATGGATTCCCTAAGATAAGATTCCAGGTTTTTGCATCTTAGTGGTTTTCGCTTCAGCTGGAAATGTTTCTTGAGCCATGGAACCTCCCGCCACACTCTTTGTTGAGCAACCCGGTGCATTTCTGTAGTTCGAGGACTCACTTTTAGTCTAGTGATCTGACATCCAGGTCCTGCACTTGTGGGTCTCTGGGCTTTGAATAGAAATGGAAAGTATGACTTTCAAAACATAGGATGGAAAAAGAATGTAACAAATTAAATGCGATCAGTTCAACAAGTGGGCAGAAAATGGGAGGAAGGAAAAAAACAAGAGGGGAAGGTAAATAGAAAAGAAAAAAATAAGCAAATGGGATGGCAAGGAATAGGTACAACCATTGCCGTCATCATAACAAATGGGACTTGGTCATATTCACCTGAATCTTAAAAGACAGTGGAAGATTGGCTTTAAAAAAGAACAAAACACAGAAAAGGTTAAAAAACAGAACAATGGAGAAAAGATAAGGCAGCAAGCAAGCAAAAAGAGAGCAGATTTAGCAACATCAAAAGCAGAAATAATAGAATTCAAGGTGATAAGAACAAAAGGGAACAAAGAGAAATATTTCATGATAATACAAATAACATACTGAGAAAATACAGCAGCTGCGAATGTTTATGCTCTTAGTGACATAGCTTTGAAAAATACATAAACAAAGAAAAACAATACTCATTGTCCTCCATTTTTTTCAAAAAGTGAAATTATAGAGGGGCGCCTGGGTGGCTCAGTTGGCTGGGCGTCTGCCTTTGGCTCGGGTCGTGATCCCAGGGTCCTGGGATCGAGCCCCGCATCGGGCTCCCTGCTCCACGGGAAGCCTGCTTCTCCATCTCCCACTCCCCCTGCTTGTGTTCCCTCTCTCACTGTGTCTCTCTCTTCCAAATAAATAAAATCTTTAAAAAAAAAGTGACACTATAGAGACACATTCACTGGCTATAGTGCAAAAGAAAGACTTATAAATTAAGAACAAAACGATAGTGAGTGAAGGTGTGTGTGCAAAAGAGAGAAGTTCTATACATGCGGAAATGAAACATATACTTCATGGGGTGCCTGGGTGGCTCAACTGGTTAAGCATCCAACTCTTGATTGTGGCCCAACTCAGGACTCAGGATCTCAGGGTCGCGAGTAGAGCCCCGCATTGGGCTCTGTGCTCAGGGGGCGTCTACTAGAGAGTCTCTCTCCCTCTCCCTCTGCCCCCCACCCCCGTCAGGCACATGGGCGTGTGCTCTCTCTCTCTCTCAAATTTTAAAAAACACACACTTTATAATACCTCCTAAATTAATAAAGAAATCAAAAGTTAAATGTAAACTTCTAGTTAAAGATGACAGATTTAAAAACCCTACAACTCCAGGGGCGCCTGTGTGGTTCAGTCAGTTAAGTGCCTGCCTTCAGCTCAGGTCATGGTCCCAGGGTCCTGGGATCGAGCCCCTTGGGGAGTCTGCTTCTCCCTCTCCCCCTCACCTGCTCGTTCTCTCTCTGTCTCGCTCTCTCTGTGTCTCTCTCATATGAATGAATCTTAAAAAAAAAAAAAAAACCCACAACTCCAGTAAAGAGCACTGACAGGTGCTTTTGAAGGTGTGAACACAGCTAGATGGAAGGGACAGGAGACAGCTACCATCACAGCACTCTGGATGCTAGAAAACAGATGGGCAAGAGGTAGCTGACTCAGCAGACCCCAGGGAGCTCAATTCCAAGCCAGCACTGGGAGAGCACAGAAATCTGTCTGCTTTGCAAAGCAACACCCCTCACCTCCCACCAAAGGTTCAGGAATTGGCAAGACCACTTAACTCTGGAAATGAGGGCAAAACAGGAGCCAAAACCAGGAGAACTGGTGGAAGGTCAGCTTGAAAAGCAGCGAGGTCCCAGATCTCCTGAACAACCTCATGTCGAGCCTGACCGTCCTCCCTCTCTGG